TATTATTATTATTATTATTATTATTATTATTATTATTATTATTATTATTATTATTTGCAATGTGACCAAAACTGGATGCAGTATTCCAGGTGTGAATTTACTAAGATTTCATAAAAATACTTTATAAAGCATTAAATATTTATAAAGTATTAGTATTTATAAAGTGCTAAGGATTTATAAAGCAGTACTTCTTCAGGAACTTCGGGAATTGAAGAAGCTTCTTAAATGAGAAGCGAAATGTTTTCAAAGGAAAAAAACCAAGAAAGCCCAGTTGCCTTTTGGAGAAAGCACTTCGGGGACAACCATGACCTAGAACAGGAGTAGGCAACCTTGGCTCTTTTATGACTCGTGGACTTCAACTCCCAGAATTCCTGAGCCAGCATGGCTCAGCTTGGAAACCTCTCCCTTTCCCCTCAGCAGGGCTGGCTCAGGAATTCTGGGAGTTGAAGTCCACGAGTCATAAAAGAGCCAAGGTTGCCTACCCCTGGCCTAAGTCCTTCTGTTCTAAGCGATGAGCCTCCTAGGCCAGGGGTAGGCAACCTTGGCTCTTTTATGACTCGTGGACTTCAACTCCCAGAATTCCTGAGCCAACATGGCTCAGCTTGGAAACCTCTCCCTTTCCCCTCAGCATGGCTGGCTCAGGAATTCTGGGAGTTGAAGTCCACAAGTCATAAAAGAGCCGAGGTTAGCCTACCCCTGACCTAGAATGATTGAGAATCTCTCTACAGTAGATGTTCAGCTTCCATGTCTGTGCTTATCATCTACCTGAAATGGTCATTTGGAAGTGTGAGCTTATTGCACCGACAGGTTTGACGGATGGAAAAAAAATGGGCGGTACCTGAATTATGAGGAGTCACAACTGCCAATTTCAACAATTTCAAGATGTAGAAGACAGACCAGGATCTACTGAGACATCTCATGGTACTTTGGAGGAAAGAACAAGCTTCCAATGGTTTAACAATTAAAAACACAGAAGTAAAGTTCAGGTTTACAAGTAGTCTTCTTCTGAGACCTTCTCTCCTGGTCTAGCTACAGCATGGGTCTTGCTAATGGTGTCCTATCCAAGTACACTCAAGATCATTCTTGGTCATCTGATTCAAAACCAGCCAAGAGGTTGGCTAGATGTTGCTATTTCACATTGTTGCCAAGAAAACTCCATGGACATCTCTCTGAGGTCCCTTGGAGATCGGCTTGATTCAAGATGTCCTTACCTTTTATCCTAAACATTGCCTGATACCTGTTTCTCAACAGGTTACAGTACATTAGCTTGAATTTTAGCGTAATACATTCTTGTGAAAAGGTGTAGAATTGCAGACGGTACAATTTAAGGCAGTTTTCCCATATGACACCCACCCTCTAAATGTGGTTAGGCTGCAAAACATGGAATTTTAGCATATGGAGATGGTGATGATGGCGATGAAGAAGAAGATAATGATGGAATTAGCCAATCTTATTTGGGGCATGTCTTAAATTATTTTAGCTTACCAAAATAAGAAGACAACCAATGTAGTCCATAGGCTTAGACCAGGGGTGTCAAACTGCCGGCCCACGGGCCGGATGCGTCATGCAGAAACCATGCCCATCCCATTGCCGGCAATGGGAAAAAAAGTCACGATATGTCGCGACACATCACGTGATGTTGCGAGTTTGACACCCCTGGCTTAGACTTTTCCAAGTTGGTGCCCTGCAGAGATCTTACATGAACAACCTTCTTATTCCCAAACAAGGTGCCTACAACTCTCATCACTCGGAACAACAACAGAATAACAGAGTTGGAAGGGACCTTGGAGGTCTTCTAGTCCAACCCCTTGCTCGAGCAGGAAACCCTACATCAGTCCAGACAAAATGGTTGTCCAATCTCTTCTTGGAAATCTCCAGTAATGGAGCATCCACAATTTCTGGACGCAAGTCGTTCCAGCGATGTAATTGTTCTCACTGTCAGGAAATTCCTCCTTAGTTCTTAGGCTGGTTCTCTCCTTGACTAATTTCCATCCATGCCTTCATCTCCTGCCCTCAGGTGCTTTGGAGAATAGATGGACCCCCTCTTCTTTGTGGCAGCCCCTCAGACGTTGGAATGCTACTATCATGTACCTGCTAGTCCTTCTTTTCATTAAACAACCCCCTACTTAAGTAGGAGTCCCTATACCATTTCAGACAAATGGCTGTCCAGTCTCTTCTTAAAAATCTCCAGCGATGGAGCATCCACAACTTCTAGAAACTAATCATTCCACTGGTTGACTGTTCTATCTGATAGGAAATGTCTCCTTAATTCTGGGTTGGTTCCCTCCTTGATTAGTTTCCATCCGTTGCTTCTTGCCTTTCTCTTAGATGTTTTGAAGCACAGGTCAGTTCCCTCCTCTCTGTGACAGCCCCTGTCTATAACCTTCTACGATGGTTCAGTAGGGATTGGGAAGAGAAACAATCTAATCTGTATAGGTTAAGGTAGTTCGCAAGAAGTATATAAAATCGGAGGTCAGGGGACTAGTAGAAGCAACGAGAAGAGACGTGAGAAAGATCTCAGAGTTGGTTAACTCTAGGTCGGTTAAGTAGACCTAACGGGGTTCAAGATCTTTGCTAGATTAAATCTCAATGCCTCAAGGGTTCTGAATAACAGGCGTCAGTACGGCCAACAGCATGTGGTAAGGTTCCTTTGATCATAGGGATCTCACCAGGAGCAGGAAAGATGCAAGTGTCAATTTGCATACTTGGACCTAATTAAGAGCTGCAGCCTGTAGAGTCTAACACTTCAACATGACCCATCTGTCAAGCTGGACGTGCAATTAGGAGTGGAAACTAGACACCGACCAATGAAGGTTTTGAAATGTACATCTCCAGATCCAAAAAAAGAAACCAGTTTAAAAAAAGAGCCTGCCCAGCAAGAACTAATGACTGTCCTTTGCACCAGGAAGCAAAATTAATTGGTTGGAGCAACAAGCTGGACTTGTTAAGTGCAAAAGGATGGTAAACCTCTGCTCGGAATATCTTCTGCAATCTCCTTGTGAAATTGTAGCAGGTCCTAAATGCAAAAGAGAACGGTCCTGTGGAAGGTAAGGGCAACCCTGAGTTGAATGGAGGTTCCTACATCCATGCACAATTTCTTAGCACGATTATGGGACGTATTTATTTAAGAAAATTTATATGGCCCGCCAACTCAATCTCAGCGGTTCCAGACAATAATCCCAGATTCCCCCTGTGACAACACTCAAATGATAAGGATAAGGATAAAAAAGGTCCAATTCAGAATAGAGCTGGAAGGGACCTTGGAGGTCTTCTAGTCCAACCCCCTGCTCAAGCAGGAGACCCTATACTATTTCAGACATTCACTTCTTAAAAACCTCCAGTGATGGAGCACCCACAACTTCTAGAGGCAAGCTGTTCCACTGGTTAATTGTCCTCACTGTCAGGAAGTTTCTCCTTAATTCCAGGTTGCTTCTCTCCTTGACCAGTTTCAATCCATCGTTTCTTCTCTTGCCTTCTGGTGCTTTGGAAATAAGCCATTTGATGGGTTCCATCCCAGTCTTGGGTCCCCAAACCCATTGGAAAACCAGGTCTTCAAGACTTTTTAAAAGAGTGTCAAGGTTGGGGCCAATCTTATTTCCGTAGGGATGATGTTCCACAGGGAGGGAACCGCCACAGAGAAGGCCCTTCTTCTGGGTCCTGCTAGATGGACCACCTTACGAGAGGGACCTGTAACACCCCCTGCCTCTCCACTCCAGTGGGTAAGGTAGATGTGACTGGGACAAGATGGTCCTTCAAATATTTGTCCTTTCTTTCTTCTTGGATGCATTTTGATTGTCAAATGGACGCCAAAGCCTGGAATTTTTAGCTCAGTTTTGCTCTCTGTTCATATATTGTTTACTACAATGCCTCAATCATGGAACTACCAACTCAGACAAACAATCAGTAAACCACAGCCTAATCAAGGAACCATCAAGACCACTCCCCCCAATGCTGGCAGGGCAAGCCACTGTATATAAACTGTATATAAATCCCACTTCCTACCAGTACTGATGATGTTACCTAGTTGGGTCATGAAACGTCTGCAAGAAAACAACCCAGCTCAGAGAGCACCAAGGACCCCACAATCCTCCTCCATCTCCATCTCCATCTCCATCTCCATCTCCATCTCCATCTCCATCTCCTCCTCCTCCTCCTCCTCCTCCTCCTCCTCCTCCTCCACCACCACCACCACCACCACCACCACAACTACAACCACCTCCACCTTCTCCTTTCTTCTAGCACTGATGATGTTACCTATTTGGCTAATAAAATGTCTGCACGAAAACAACCAAGCTCGGAGAGCACCAAGGACCCGACAGTTTAACCCTGAGTACAAATATTCTCTTCTAATCAAACCACTTATATATAAACAAAGATTAAACCCTCGCTCCCTACCAACACTGAGGATGTTACCTAGTTGGGTCATGAAACGTCTGCAAGAAAACCACCGAGCTCAGAGAGCACCAACGACCCCACAGTTCAAAGACGAGTATAAATATTCTCTTCTTGTGAAACCACTTTGTATATAAACAGACATCAAACCCTTCTTCCTTCTAGCACTGATGAGGTTAGCTAGGTGGGTCATGAAAAGTCTGCAAGAAAACAACCAAGTTCAGACAGCACCAAGGACTCCACAGTCCTCCTCCTCCTCCTCCTCCTCCTCCTCCTCCTCCTCCTCCTCCTCTCTATAAATTTCACTCCCTTCTAGGTAACACTGATGATGTTCCCTAGTTGGGTCATGAAACATCTGCAAGAAAACCACCAAGCTCAGAGAGCACCAAGGACCCCTCATTTCAACCCTGAGCTGCAAAGATTCTCCTTTATTGGTAAACCTAAGGAATAACGGAATGCCTCTTAAGACAACTTCCTAGCACAGATGTTGCTCCTTGCCCTGCTCAGATAGAATGGACACGCAGATGAGATGAACTATGAAGGTGACTTTTCTAAGCCCCGCCCCCCCAAAGTGAAAGTGAAAGAGTTATTGGGGGAAAGTGTTAATACTAACGACCTGCGTATTGCTGTACTCCAGCGTATGCTTGTTGCAAAGGGTCAGCCGTGGTTGGGCTTTGTGCTGCGAAGACACAAGAGAGAAAAGAAAGAGGAGTTGAAAGACATGCCTGTATCTCTGGGAAAGACAACATAACACATCTGGCAATATCAGAATAACAGAATGACAGATTTGGAAGGGACCTTGGAGGTCTTCTAGTCCAACCCCCTGCTTAGGTAGGAAACTCTATACCATTTCAGACAAATGGTTGTTCAATCTCTTCTTAAAAAGCCTCCTGTGATTGTTCTCACTATCAGGAAATTTCTCCTTAGTTCTAGGTTGCTTCTCTCCTTGGTTAGTTTCCATCCATTGCTTCTTGTTCTGCCTTCAGTTGCTTTGGAGAATAACTTGACCCCCTCTTTTTTGTGGCAACTCCTGAGATATTGAAGCACTGCTATCATGTCATCCCTGGTCCTTCTCTTCATTAAACTAGACATACCCAAATTCTTGCAACTGTTCTTCATATGTTTTAGCCTCCAGTCCCCTGATCATCTTTGTTGCTCTTCTCTGCAACAAAGAGTCTCAACATGACCAAAACTGGATGCGACATTCCAAGTGTGGTCTTACTAAGGCTTTGTAAAGCAGTATTAATACTTCATGTGATCTTGATTTTATGCCTCTGTTAATGCAGCCATCTACGGACACACCGTTGATGGCCCACAATCCATAAGATGTCAAGGTCTTCATCGAAATCGATGGACGAACAACAATGCAGCCTAGGACTGCACTGTTTTTTTGGGAGGCTGTAGCACACTGTTAGCTCATATTCAACTGACTAGAACTTTTTACATTTATATACACATTTTAGGAAAGGTGTTTGTGAGTTTTATTTATTAGATTTGTGGGTCTCCCATCTTGTTTAGAGTTGACTCTAGTGGCGATGTACAAATAGAACGAGAAAAAGAAGTAAAAGAAACTAGAGGAAAATCAAGCTATTAATAAAGGGCAGGTTTTCAAGCGTTGTAGGTTTGACAAGAAATAATTCCGAAATGACATTGATGTAAGTCTACCTATTAAAATATCACACATCAGTCTGAAAGTTTAAAAAAAAATACGTTGAAATAAATCAGCGTTAAAGTAACATTATGGCACAGTAATTGGCAATTTTAAACCAGCATGATTTGAATGACAAATTGTACATTACAATAAGTTCTATCTGGTTTGAAAAATCTACATGTTTTAATCTTACGTTAGGAGAAACCCAGACTTAGGATGCAGCATGCAAAATGATCACACACACAAAAAAAGGTTTCCACATCGAGTTAAAATCTCCATCACATTTTAAAATATGCAGCTCGTTTTGACGATGGTACAGAAGCTCGTACCTTAATTTGCTCTTCTTTTGGGAAAGAAATTATTTGTGCTTTTCCATAAGAAACCTAGAAAATGCTGGCAACTGCTTATCCTGTCAAAAGCCAGCTCAGTACATTTAATAAAAATATAAAATTCAGTAATGTTCAGTAAAAAGATAATGGGCTAGCAAAAATTCTACCTTTAATTCCAAGTTGCTTCTCTCCTTGATTTTTCAGTTTAGAGTAGGCATCTCCAAGCTTGGCAATTGTCTACTGCAAACTGCAACTGCCAGGGCTGTATTACTTATTATCCTTCTCATCTTTCCTATTACCTATTTCCTTAGCTTCTTATGACTATAACTTGGTTGTTTGTTTGTATCTCAAGATTTATGTTGATTTATGCTTTTATTTAGTACCCTATTATGATTTATGTTGATTGCTTATTTAGTATCCTATGACTATCACTGAGTGTTGTATCTTATGATTTATGATGAATGTATTTTATGATTATGATCACGATTTATCATTTGTTGCTTGTTATGTAGACTGTGAGCTTCTGTAGCGGAGACAAATTCCTTGTGTGTCAAATCACACTTGGCCAATAAAGAATTCTATTCTATTCTGTTCTATTCTATTCTATTCTATTCTATTCTATTCTTATTATTTAATATGATCATGATTTATCACTTGTTGCTTGTGTGTAGACTGTGAGCTTCTGTAGTGGAGACAAATTCCTTGTGTGTCAAATCACAATTGGGCAATAAAGAATTCCATTCCATTCCATTCCATTCCATTCCATTCTATTCTATTCTATTCTATTCTATTCTATTCTATTCTATTCTATTCTATCCTTATTATTGAATATGATCATGATTTATCACTCATTGCTTGTGTGTAGACTGAGAGCTTATGCACCGGAGACAAATTCCTTGTGTGTCAAATCACACTCGGCCAATAAAGAATTCTATTCTATTCTATTCTATTCTATTCTATTCTATTCTATTCTATTCTATTCTATTCTATTCTATTCTATTCTATTCTGTTCTGTTCTGTTCTGTTCTGTTCTGTTCGAAACTTGTGGACTTGAACTCCCACCCTAATTTTCTTTCCTGAGATATCCATCTGCTTGGACCAAAGTCTTCAAACTTTTCGGATTTAGCAATGGAACTCATTCCATGTGGAACTCAGCATCTGCTTATAATTTGCAAAAAAAATGTTTCAACCCTTCTTAGAATCTCTCTACTTCACAAACACACTTCAGACTTCCATTTTCCTGGCCGCAATCCCAACAAATCAGCAGAATAAGAACGTTTAGCACTACAATTTTGCAAGAGGCCAAAACAACTGCGGGAAGACCAAGACTCTCATTTTAAGAATAGGCATCGCAAGGTCAGGCTTAAAAGAAACATATATAAGGGAGAGCTCCCCCTGTCAACTTCTTCCCAAATCCAATTTAAATCATTCTCCCCAAGCTTAATCTATATCCATAATTATATCATTTGGTACAACAAGCTTGCGAGCCGTTTCCCACAATTTATGTAGATTAAAATTCATGGGTGCGATACTACCGATTCTGTATTATGAAGATTGATTAGGACAGCTGATGCAGTGATTAAGGGAGTGTGCATTTACTGTTGCAATTAATTAGGCATTCAGACACAACAATAACTACAATAACCAAAGCGCTGAGCTGGCATTCTTGGTTTAGGGGGTGGAGGCTTCTCGGCTCCTTTGACAAGGATTCTGGCTTGATGGAAGGGCCGTAAAAAGGGAACACAGAACATAAAATAATAGAGTTGGAAGGGACCTTGGAGGTCTTCTAGTCCAACCCCCTGCTCGATCAGGAGGCCCTATACCATTTCAGACAAATGGTTGTTCAATCTCTTTTTGAAAGCCTCCAGTGATGGAGCACCCACAACGTCTGACAGCTGTGACAATTTTCCTGACAGTTAGAACAATTAACCAGTGGAACAACTTGCCTCCAGAAGTTCTGAATGCTCCAACACTGGAGGTTTTTAAGAAGAGATTGGACAACCATTTGTCTGAAATGATATAAGGGTTTCCTGCCTGACCAGGGGGTTGGACTAGAAGACCTCCAAGGTCCCTTCCAACTCTGTTATTTTGTAAATTAATCAGTGGAACTGCTTGCCTCCAGAAGTAAGGCTATACTGCTATTGTCCTTCTCATTTTTCCTATTACCTATCTCCTAATCTTCTTATGACTATAACTTTCTTGTTTGTATCTTATGATTTATATTAATTGTTTCATTTAGTATCCTAGTATGATTTATGTTGATTGCTTATTTAATATCCTTTGACTATCACTGAGTGTTGTATCTTACGATTTATGATGAATGTATTTTATGATGATTATGATCACAATTTATTACTTGTTGCTTGTATGTAGACTGTGAGCTTCTGTAGTGGAGACAAATTCCTTGTGTATCAAATCACACTTGGCCAATAAAGAATTCCATTCCATTCCATTCCATTCCATTCCATCACTATTCTATTCTATTCTATTCTATTCTATTCTATTCTATTCTATTCTATTCTATTATGATTTATCACTCATTGCTTGTGTGTAGATTGAGAGCTTCTGCACCGGAGACAAATTCCTTGTGTGTTCAATCACACTTGGCCAAGAAAAAATAAAGAATTCTATTAAGGTATTATAGAGTCATAAAAGGAGGTTAGTTTTTTTTTTTTAGTGAACCCAAGTAGTGGAGTTATCTTACAAGAGTTATGGCGGTTCCTTGGTCTTCGAGTAGCTTCTGCTGCAGTGTTTCTCCACCTTGCTTATTCGAAGATGGGTGGACTTCAACTCCCAGAATTCCCCAGCCAGCAAAGCCGAAGCAAGAGGTCCCAATGTCGCCATTTTATCCTACCTGGGTAAGGATGGATGCCATTGGCAAAGACGGCTTCTGCTGCAGGTTGCCCATTCGGTTGCGGCGGGAGACCAGTGAAACCATTCACCCCGATGGGGGAGGGGATGCTAGGCACGGCTGGTGCAGTGATGCCTGGAGGCGTGCTGCCACCTAGAGGTCGGGAGGGGAAAGGCAGAGCGTCAATCAATTGCATTCATTGGTTGAGTATATAGAGCAGTGGTTCTCAACCTTTTTAATGCTGCGACCCCCAACCGATCGTAAGTCGAGGACTAAACCGGTCGTAAGTCGAGGACTAAACCGGTCATAAGTCGAGGACTAAACCGGTCGTAAGTCGAGGACTAAACCGGTCGTAAGTCGAGGACTACCCAACTGGTCGTAAGTCGAGGACTTTCCCTGCCCGGGAGCACCGCGCATGCGTGGTTCCGCCCCCTGTGCCGGCCAAGGCGTAGCTGGCAAGTGGCAGAGACGGAGCAGGCCGACCACCAGCTGGCCCAGCTCAAGGGAGGTAAGGCACCCGCCGGAAAAGGGAAAAAAAATGGCGGACAGCCTTGCTTGGCAACACCCGTGAAATGGTCGATTGACCCCAAATGGGGTCACGACCCATAGGTTGAGAACCGCTGATATAGAGGTAGTCAGAATCAGAATAGACCTGATTCTATTCTGGGAGGTCTTCTAGTCCAGCCCTCTGACCAAGCAGGAGATCCTATACAATTTCAGACATTCCTCGACTTATGACCATGACTGAGCCCCCACATTCCATTGCTGAAGCAAGACCATTGGGAAGTACGTTTTGCTCTATTTTACGACCTTTCCGGCCACAGTTGTTAAGTGAATGTGGCTTCCCCATTTTGACTTTGCTTGTCAGGTTGCTAGATATGATCGCGTGATCCTGGGACACTGCAGCCGTCATAAATATGAGTCAGTTGCCAAGAGTCTGAATTTGATTACGTGACCGTGGGGGAATGCTGCAAGGGTCGTGAGTGTGAAAACGGCCACGAATCCCTTTTTGCAGTGCCATTGTGCCGTCAAATGGTCGCTAAAGAAATGGCTGTAATTCGAGGACTCCCCGTAGATGGATAAGTCACATCCAGAAGACACTTCAAAGCAATCTGAAATTCATCTGAAATGTGACAGGGCATCCTGCTTAGGCAGGGGGTTGGACTAGAAGACCTCCAAGGTCCCTTCTGACTCCTGTTATTCTGTTTGGCTTCCCCGTTGTCTTTGCTTGCCAGGAGGTCGCAAAAGGAGGATCACGTGACCCTGGAACACCGCAACCGACAGTTGCCAAGCTGTCTGAATGTGGATCACGTGGCCATGGGGGGGGGGGCTGCAAAGCGGTGTAAGCAGTGGTGGGATTCAGCCGGTTCGCACCGGTTCGGTAGAACCGGTAGCTAAATTTTGTTGAGTTCAGAGAACTGGCTGAACCCATGCTGCTTCTGGAAGTCCATTCTAGGCCTCGGAGGCCTGGAGGAGGCCTCCCAGGCCTAGAACGGTTCACCGGAAGTGCCTGGATGTCATTTCCGGAAGTCTGTTCTAGGCCCTCCCAGGCCTAGAATGGCCCGCCAGAAGTGCATTGTTGTCACTTCCGGAGGTCCGTTCTAGGCCTCGGAGGCCTGGAGGAGGCCTCCGAGGCCTAGAACAGCCCACAGGAAGTACGTGGATGTCACTTCCGGAAGTCCGTTCTAGGCCTCTGAGGCCCAGGCCTGCATCCACGTAGGGAACCGGAAGTTCAGGTATTTGAATCCCACCATTGGACGTTAGTGTGAATAAGAGTCCCTCAGTGCCGTCGTCACCTTGAACGGTCACTAAACGAACGGTTGTAAGCCGAGGACTACCTGCATTAAAAACGTTTGGTGTTACTGATAGGCCTCCGGTGCTCTTCCGATGCTTACCTGAGGTGGGGGTCATGGGGGTGGCCGCCAGCCCGTTCATGTTGAGGGCAGCCATCTGCTGCATCTGGGCTGCTGCGAAGGCCGCCATGGGGTTTAGGTAGCCGCCTTGCGCCACGGAGGCCATGATGGCGGCCTGTTGCTGCATCAGCTGGAACAAAGAGAACAGAGAAAAAATATCACGCATTCACTGGCAGAGCAGCAGCGGGGGCGGGGCGGGGGGGACGGCACCTGGCCTCTTGCCAGAACTGGGGTGGATGTTCAAAACTCTTGCCTTTGAACTCAGCCTCAAAGGGCCCCTTGGAGAAGAAGAAAGAGGAGGAGGAGGAGGAGGAGGAGGAGGAGGAGGAGGAAGGAAAAGAAACAGTAGCAGAGGAGGTAGAAGAAGGAGAAGAAACAGGAGAGAGAGAAGCAGGAGAAGGAAGAAGAGAAGAAAAGGAGAAGGAGGAGAGGAGGGAGAGGAGAAGGATAGATAGGAGAAGCAGCAGCAGGAGGAGGAGAAAGAGAAGGAGGAGAAGAGGAGGAAGAGGAGGAGGAGAAGGGAGAGGACAAGGATAGGTAGAAGGAGAAGCAGGAGAAGGAGAAGGAAGAAGAGGTAGAGGAAGAGGAGGAAAATGAAGAGGAGGAAAAGGAGAAGGAGGACGAGAGGAAGCAGCAGGAGGAGGAGGAGAAAGAGAAGAAGGAGGAGGAGGAGGAAGAGGAGGAGGAGAAGAGAGAGGAGAAGGATAGGTAGAAAGAGAAGCAGGAGAAGGAAGAAGAGGAAGAGGAAGAGGAGGAAAATGAGGAGGAGGAGGAGGAGGAGGAAAAGGTTATGTAGGAGAAGAACCAGGAGATGGAGAGGGAGGAGGAGGAAGAGGGGAAAAGGAGAAGGAGAGGAAAGCAGTAGTGGAGGAGGAGGAGGAGGAAGAGGAGAAGGAGAAGAAGGAGAAGGAGGAGAGGGATAAGAGGTGGAGGAAAAGGAGGAGAAGGAGATAATTTTCTGGGATGATTCCCCAAAGTGAGGCCCAAATAAAAAGTAGACTTGAGTTCCGGTCTTTGCAATAGTTGTGCAGTTGTGGGAGAAGAGAGGCTGCAGAATGTAGGGTGTTGCTCTCTGTTTCTAGACAAGGGCCTTGCCCTGGCAGTGTTGATGGGATCGTTCTTGGTGGTTCCTGGATCCCCAACCACTAGTATTTAAACAAGCCCCCCTTTTGTAAACAGAGAACAAACCGGGAGTTTTGAGGTAAGCAGGTGTAGAAACCGAATAACCGAATTGAATAATCAAACTGATTATTATAATCACACGGATTCCTTTGCAAAAAAAAAAAAAGTGGGTTTCTGTCGCTTGCTTTATGTCTGCCGTAAACTCCTGCTCTGGTTCTGCAGGTTTATTCTTCTGTCTTGAAGGAAGGATGCGGTCCCTGTCTGGTGTTTTTTTTTTTGTTTCATTCTTCTTACAGTCCCTGCTGGAAAAACTCACATTTCTCCAACTTTTCTGGCTGGATAGAAAAAGCAACGCTCAAGTTTCCTGTCCATAAGTATTCCTCGTGACGGAGCCCCCTTGTGGCGGATCCCGACTCAGAAAGCTGTCACTCTATCTCAGTGTTTCTCAACCTTGACCATTTTAAGGCATGTGGACTTCAACTCCCAGAATTCCACAGCCAGCAATGCTGGCTGTGGAATTCTGGGAGTTGAAGTCCACATGCCTTAAAATGGTCAAGGTTGAGAAACACTGCTAGGCTATCTCTACTCTGTGTGATATCAGAGCTTAGACGCGGGGTGGGCGCGTGTCTCGGGGTGGGCGTGGGTCTTCATTAGAAGCGTGGAACTCAGGGGCTAAGATTCCCTAAGGAAAGCTTGGGAAGGGGGACTTAGCCAGTCGAAAGGCAGATCCATAATGGGGCTGTGATCAGATTTGAGCGCACTTGCCGAGTGCGCTCATCCTAGCGAGGGTCCATCCTTTGCTTTGGGTTTTATTTAAATGGGGTCTTATTTAAATTAAATTAGAGGCTTTCCCTCTCTGTGTCCTCCTTCCTTCCCTCTTTCTTTTCCTCCCTCCCTCCCTCCCTCCCTCTTTCTCTTTCTCTTTCTCTTTCTTTCTCTCTCTCTCTTCCTTCTTTCCTCCCTCCCTCCCTCCTCTTTCTCTTTCTCTTCCTTCCTTCCTTCCTTCCTCCCTTTCTCCTTCCCTTCTTTTTCCTTCCTTTTTTTCTTTCTTTCTTCCTTCCTTCCCCTCTTTTTCCTTCCTTCCTTCCTTCCTTCCTTCCTTCCTTTCCAATCTCTCTTTAATCGAGGACTGATTCATACAGGGAAAGTCTCACCACCATCTCTCTCTCTCTCTCCTCTCTCCTCATTTTCTCTTTCTCTCCCTTTCTCTTCTTTTCTTTCTCTTTCCTTCTCTCTCCCATTCTCTCTCTTGCTTTCTCTCTCTTTCCCTTCCTTCCTTCCTTCCTTCCTTCCTTCCTTCCTTCCTTCCTTCCTTCCTTCCTTCCTTCCCCTCTTTTTCCTTCCTTGCTTCCTTCCTTCCTTCCTTCCTTCCTTCCTTCCTTCCCAATCTCTCTTTAATCAAGGACTTTGATTCATACAGGGAAATAGTCTCACCACCATCTCTCTCTCTCCTCTCTCTCTCCTTCTCTCATTTTCTCTTTCTCTCCCTTTCTCTTCTTTTCTTTCTCTTTCCTTCTCTCTCCCATTCTCTCTCTTGCTTTCTCTCTCTTTCCCTTCCTTCCTTCCTTCCTTTCTCTCTCTCTCTCTCCCTCCCTCCACTCCTTTGTCCCTCCCTCCCTCCCTCCCTCTCTCTCTCTCTCTCTCTCTCTCTCTCTCTCTCTCTCTTCCCTCCCTCCCTCCCTCCCTCCCTCTGTTTCTGTCAGGGCGTTGAGGTGTCCATCTCAGCCCTGAGCAGCCAACATTCCAGTCGCTCTTGCTGAAGACGGTCACTTCTCTGTCTGACCCAACCTTTGCCCCCCCCCCAACACATTAGAGAAACCAGAGGGCGCCTCTTTTAACGGGGATGGCAGCCCTGCCAGGATAGGCATTTTCTAAAAATTAAAAGTTTACTTTTTTTGCCCTTTCGGAATTATGATTTTGTCCTCATCTGCAAATGTATGCAGACTTAATGTGCTCATTAATAACTTATTTGCCCAAAACGCATGCAATTAATTAACTAAGCTTTCTTTAGCCGGATGACAATTTGAAAGAGGGAGGGAGGGAGGGAGGGAGGGAGGGAGAGCAGGCCTCAAAGGAGCCAAAAAGGAAGGGGGCTTTCTGCAAACGTCCTGGTCAGCTGAGAGGGTCTGCAGGGCCCTCCAGCCCTTGAGCGTCATTTCATGGGAGGGGAGAGATGGGGAAGTGGGGGGGGGAAGGGCTGGAGCCGGGGCTTCTTCTGCCCACCCGTCTCTTCTTGGGGGAAACATTGTCCTCATATTGTCTGGCTCTCTATTCATGGAGATTCATCCAAAATGTTAATATTGGAAAGAATTACTTCCTTCCCCCTCCCTCTCTTGAGTGACCTTCTTTTCTTTCTTTCCTTCCTTCCTCCCTCCCTTCCTCTTTCCTTCCCTTCCTTCCTTCCTCTCTCCCTCCCTCTTTCCTTCCTTCCCTCCCTCCCTCCTTCCCTCCCTCCCTTCCTCCCCCATCTCGCCTTCCTTCCTTCCTTCCTCCTTCCTCCTTCCTCCCTTCTTTTTCCTTCCTTCCTTCCTCCCTCCCTCCCTCTTTCCTTCCCTCCCTTCCTCCCTCCCATCTCGCCTTCCTTCCTTCCTTCCTTCCTTCCTTCCTTCCTTCCTTCCTTCCTTCCTTCCTTCCTTCCTTCTTCCTCCCTTCCTTTCTTCTCCTCCTTTCCACCTCCTCCCTCCCTCCTTCCCTCCCTTCCTTCCCTCCCACCCTTCTTTTTACTTCCTCCCTCCCTCCCTCTTTCCTCCATGCCTTCCTTCCTGCCTCCCTCCCTCCTTCCTTCCTCCCCATCACCTTCCTTCTTCTCCTCATTCCCAACTCCTTCCTTCCTTCCTCCCTCCCTCCTTCCTTCCTTCCTTCCTTCCTCCCTTCTCCTTCCTTCCCTTCTTTTTCCTTCCTTCCTTCCTTCCTTCCTTCCTTCTCCTCATTCCCATCTCCTCCATCCNCTCCCTCCCTCCCTCCCTCCCTCCCTCCCTTCCTTCCTTCCTTCCTTTCTTCCTTCCTCGCATGACATTTCCTTAGATGTGTTTGAAATGCAGGCCAAAAAGACGGAATCAACGGGACCTTCCAGGATCTCTGGCGGTGGAGGTGGCAGCTTCCTCTTGGATCCTTAATTTCTCTTTCTTCCTACAGGCCCATGCAAGACACTTTCACATTTTAATTAGCGGTTCAGTGTTTCTTTGTAATTGCTGATGGGGTGATTAGAAGTCCTTTTCTGGGCCTGCACGATGGCAGTCTTTGCTTCTGCTTTTGAAAGGTCCCTCCTGTTCATCTGGCATTCAGGGACAGGATGGTCCAGAGTGATGAGCAGATGGATTTATAAAACTCACCAATGAGAAGTAATGGGTGCTGGCAGTGGGGAGGGGCTAGGAGGGGAGGAGAGGAAATGCTTTTGTATTTTTCCAGATGGAGACTAGAGTCACTGTGCATCTGAACTCTGATGGGACCATTGTGTGGGAGGACATACATGCTTGAGCAGGGGGTTGGACTAGAAGACCTCCAGGGTCTCTTCCAATTCTGCTATTCTGTTCTTCTGTTCTTTTGAATTCTGTTATTCTGTATAGGGTTTTCTGCTTGAGCAGGGGTTGGACTAGAAGACCTCCAAGGTCCCTTCCGACTCTATTATTGTGTTATTGTGTTATTCTGTATAGGGTCTCCTGCTTGAGCAGGGGCTTGGAATAGAAGACCTCCAAGGTCCCTTCCGACTCTATTATTGTGTTATTGTGTTATTCTATTATTCTGTTATTCTCTTATTTTCTTATTCTGCTATTCTCTTATTCTGCTATACTGTATAGGGTCTCCTGCTTGAGCATGGGGTTGGACTAGAAGACCTTCAAGATCCCTTCCAATTCTGCTATTCTGTTATTCTGAAATCTAGATGATTAAGGGACTGGAGGCTAAAACATATAAGGGATGGTTGCTGGAATTGGGTATGTCTAGTCTAATGAAGAGAAGGACTAAGGGTGACATGATAGCAGAGTTCCAATATCTCAGGGACTACCCCAAAGAAGAGGGGGTCAAGCTATTCTCCAAGGCCCATGAAGGCAGGACAAGAAGCAACGGGTGGAAACTGATCAAGGAGAGAAGCAACCTAGAACTAAGGGGAAATTTCCTGACAGTGAGAACAATTAACCAGTGGAACAACCTGCCTCCAGAAGCGGTGAATGCTCCAGCACTGGAAGTTTTTAAGAAGAGACTGGATAGCCATTTGTCCGAAATAGTATAGGGTTTCCTGCCTGAGCAGGGGGTTGGACTCGATGACCTCCAAGGTCTCTTCCAACGTTATTATTATTGTTATTATTATTATTGTTGTTGTTGTTGTTGTCATCGTCTTTGGTTGACACCATTTCTGATGGCAATTTCACAAGCTAGATCTAAACACGGGATCTAGAGGGAGGATTTGGATCCCTTGGGGGCTGGTGAGCTTATTTGGGATTTTTTTTAATGGGTCCTGGTCATTCCCACCACATCGAATGAAGAGCGAAGACTTGCAGCTACAGTACAGGGAGTCCTCAACGTATGACCCCCACTGAGCCTAAAATTTCTGTGACTAAATGAGATACTTGTTGAGTGAGCTTTGCCCCATTTTGTGACTTCCGTTGCCACGGCTGTTAAGTGAATCACTGCAGTTGTAACAAATAGCATGGTTGTTAAGTGAAACCCAGCTTCCCCCACGGACTTTGCTTGTCAGAAGGTCGCAAAAGGGGATCACGTGACCCCGGGATCATAAATACGAACTGGCGGCCAAGCGTCTGAATTTTGATCACGTGACCACAAGGATGCTGCAACTGTCGGAAGTGTGAAAAACGGTCATAAGTCCAACTACGTCAAGATGGAAAAATAGAGAGACGATTTGTTAGTCCTCTCAAAAAAATGGCGACCGGATGGCTTTTTCTATGTCAAACAATCTCCATAACAACACAGGAAGATTTATTTGATGATTCAAATGCACGGACATGGAAGATGATTTGGCAAAGAAAGAAAGCCAGAATAAGACTGAAGAAAATTGGGGTTTTGACTTATTAGTGAGAATTAAAATAGAACATACTTAAATAGATAAGATGTGTACTTTGAATACTAGATGTTGTTGAGATAAAGGAAACTTGGGTCATTTAAAACTTGGAAGTACAAATATTAACAGTTAAATTTGAACATTGATTTGCTTATAAAGGTTAAATGTAAAGGTAATTAATGTATATATAAGCTAAAAATCTATTGATGAATGTAATAAATACGTTTTTACTTTGCGGTAATAATAAAAACTACTAGCTTAAATATGAGATAGTAGACATCAAGAGAAAAAGAGAGGAAGTATTAAATGTTGAAATAAGAGAAATTTTGGTTACTAAATTTAAGATATTTGGAAATTGCCAGAAAATAAGAATGTTATATTGTATTATTAATTACTTGATGTAAAATGGTGAGAATTCAAATAGATAAGACGTGTATCCTGAACATTAGATCTTGTGATGAATTGTGATAAAGGGAATTGGGGTTATTTAAAACTTGGAAATTATAAATACCAAACCTTAAATTTAAATATTAATGGGAAACTAAAAATTGGGAAAAAACTAAATCAGGACATTGATTGTCTAAAAAGATTGAATGTTAAAACAACTAGGATCTGTATAAACAAAAATTACTGATAAATGTAAGAAAGTTATTTTTATTTAATCGATATAATAAGAATGGTGTTAATTTAAATATGAGACAGTAAATACTAAGGGGAGAAGAGAGGAAACATTTAATGTAATAGTTTGAGATCTGTACTAAAGATATTCGTATGTTATTGAATTATTGACCAGCTCAGCCTCCACGCTGCTTTTCAAATATTTAAATGTGAAATTAGAAAATCAATACAATTTAAAAAAAACAAAACAAAAAAAACACTGGACCGCAACAGTGAGAATAAATATATTTGCAGGCTGGAGAAAGAAAGCTGGTGAACATTTAAAATCAAACTCCAGAGAGCAATCTGAGAGAATAAACCATTTTATTCATTTATAAACTATATCTATGACGGCCGCAGGGTGCCTGGGTCACCTGACCCCCTTCTGCAGCCTTCTGACAAGCAAAATCAACGCGGGAAGCCCGATGCGCTTAAGAACCCATGTTCCCAATTGGACAACTGCAGTGATTCCCTTTACAACTCCGACAAGGAAGGTGATAAAACGGGGCAAAACGGACTGAACAACTATCTCACTTAGCAACATAAATCTGGGGCTCAGTTGTGGTCGTAAATCAAGGACTACCTGTGGTTCATGGAATCCCTTCTGATGTCTATGAAGATTCTCCATCATCCAAGTCATGGTTGTCCCAAAGGTGCTTTTTCAGGAGGCAACTGGACTTTCTTGTTTTCCTTTGAAGATGCTTCACTTCTCATCCAAGAAGCTTCTTCAGCTCTGACTGGATGGTGGGGAATGGAAGGATTTATACTCCTTGCAGACAGCTGGTCATTTGCCTTCTTTTAGAGGGTCGTTGAGGCCACTTGGAGGTTTATCTGTGTCCTCAAGGTCACAAATGGAAGTGAAAGGACACAGGGCAGAAAAACATCCTACAGCCGAGAAGGCTCCACACCCATTTGCACCACTCAGGTGACCCTGAGGACACAGATAAACCTCCAAATGGCCTCAATGACTCTCTAAAAGAGCACAAATGTCCAGCTGTCTGCAAGGAGTATAAATCCTTCCATTCCCCACCATCCGGTCAGAGCTGAAGAAGCTTCTTGGATGAGAAGAGAAAACGTCTTCAAAGAAAAAACAAGAAAGTCCAGTTGCATCCTGAAAAAGCACCTTTGGGAATCCCTTCCAATCTTCAACTGTGGAGCCAAGTCCCACCCCTCGGAGCCACCTTGTTGTGTGGACACTCACTGCCTGTGCGTACGCGCCGTATGCTCCAAACTGTATGGCCATGGGGTTGAACATGCCCATCTGACCCGCCATTTGCTGCATTCGGCGCATGGTGCGCTCCTTGTCCGTGTCGGCAAACTTGACCACCAGGCTGGACGATGCTCCCTGCGGGGAGGGAAAAAGAGAAAAGGAAGTGAATCCAAGGAGGAAGCAAAAAAAAAACAACCAAAAAACCCCAACATCACGAAAAAGGTCTACCGTGTAGAACAGTGGTTCTCAACCTTTTTAATGCCGCGACCCCCAACCGGTCATAAGTCGAGGACTAAACCGGTCGTAAGTCGAGGACTAAACTGGTCGTAAGTCAAGGACTAAACAGATCGTAAGTCGAGGACTACCCAACCGGTTGTAAGTTGAGGACTTTCCCTGCCCGGGAG